GGTCATGTTCATCGGTTGGTTCGCCTCATTATAGACCAACATATTAATACATTCGTTCATGAACGATCATGTTTATACAAAACATACAAGAACACTTTTCATAAAAAGTCATAGCCTTTCAAGTGACACCCTTTCATAAAAGAGCTAACATTATAAATGTTGAATAAAGAACAAATCATTTATGGAAAGGCGCGTAAACAACTTTCGAATTTGTAGTATCATCACTAGTCATCACTAAGACTGAGCAAGTAATGAATTCACTAACTATCATATCAATATCCACTAAGGATTGGTGGGGTTTAAAAATTATATCATTTAGACAATATTTCTAACATTGGCTTTTGTCAAACATAAGCTAAACGCCCCCTACATTTTAAATATTTCATCAACATATCATCCACATATAATCATATAATGACTATATAATTTGAAGTATTCTTAACGTAAACACATTTGTTTACACTCATTAATGTTGAAACCATTTGACAATGTTGTTTGGTCAAATCTCGCATGTCATTGTTTGGGTGCTTGTTTTAGTCTGTAAAATGACTTAACAAGTCGACACACCTTCTTTTCTTTTCCTGGAACCACGAACCCTTCAGGTTGTTCCTTATAAATTTCTTTCTCCGAATCTCCATTTAAGAAGGTTGTCTTCACGTCCATCTGATGGAAGCCATACACGGCGGCTAACGCTATTAACACCCGAGTAGATGTAATCCTCGTTATCGGCGAGTATGTATCAAAATAACCAAGACCTTCTCATTGTCTAATTCATTTGACAATTAATCTTTCCTTATATTTGTCAATAGTACCATCAGCTTTCATTTTCCTTTTGAAAATCCACTTAGAACCCAAAGGTTTATTTCTTAGGGGAAGATCAACCAATTCCCAAGTATGATTACTTAATATGGATTCTATCTCACTGTTGACTGCCTCTTTCCAATATTGTGCTTCCGAGGAAGACAATATTTCTTTAAATATGTGAGGCTCATTTTCCAACAAGAATGTCAGAAAATACGATCCAAAGGAAGTAGTTATCCGTTGACATTTACTACGTCTTGGATTTTCCTAATTCAACGTACTTTCCTTTGCTTCTTCCCGAGTTCACTTTGATATTTCACTAGATGACTCACATTCCTTTTTATACGGATAAATATCCTCAAAGAACTCAACATTATTTAATTCGATTACCGCATTAATATGAATATCGGGATTTTCTGATTTATGAATCAGAAAACGATATTCCTTACTATTTGTTACATATCTTATGAAAACGGAATCAACGGTTTTCGATCCGATTTTAATCCTTTTGGGTTTAAGAACTTGCACTTTACCTAAATACCCACCCCTCCCACACTCGGAAATATTTCAAGTTGGGTTTTCTTTCTTTCCATTTTTCTTACGAAATGGATTGTGTCTTGCTATGGGGAGCGCGAATGAGTATTCGGTTAGCTGTAAGCATAGCCCCCCCCCCCCCCCACACAAGTTTTGGGTAAACCAGAACTTATCAACTAGGCATTCATCGTCTCCTTTGATATTTTATTCTTTCTTTCCGCAATTCCATTAGATTGCGGTGACTAAAGAGCGGTCGTTTGGTGAATAATTTCACATTCCAAACATATTTCTTCATAAAGAGATTCATATTCGACGCTCCTATTACGTTGTTGAGCCAACCACAAGAACTATTGTTAATGTCATGAACAACCAAAATTAGTAATCGGTGAAGTTTTAATCTTCAAACCGAGTAATATCTGATACAACCAGATCTAATAAACAGTGAAGTTTGTAATCTTCAAACCTAGTAATATATAACACAATCAAAATTAATAACTAGTGAAGTTTTTAATCTTCAGACCGTGTTATAAATTAGAGTTGAAAATCACTAACAATTTTTATCTCCAAAACGAATAGAAAGTCATTTAGACTTTATTTTCCGACAAATGAGTAGAAAGCCACGAAGACTTAATATCAACGAACGAGTAAAAAATCACGCAGATTTTAATCTCAATGCGGGTGTAGAATATCACGAAGATTTTAGTCTCCATAACGAGAGAAAAAAAATTACAAGGATTTTAGTCTCCAAAATAGGGGTAGAAATCACAAATATTTTAATTTTTCTTTTCAAATGGCTTCCCAACTAAACCATTATAACCTCTAAACATTTCAACCATTTGATATATTATTCTTATCAAACCAATATATGTATATCTTTATTGATCTACAATAATATACATACAAAATATCATCTTCATGATCTCAAAATAATTTTCAAGTATTAATATAAGCCTAATTCATATCTTACTATCTTGAAAATAATGTCACATAATTTCATGCATGCTACCAAATTATATGCCAACTAATATATTTTATGCATGCAAATAGAATATATTTTGAGATCTCATAAAATAATTATCTATCCTAACATTTTTAGAAACTGAATTCGTGAATCACAAAGGATAAAATTAAAATTATGAGTAAACCCCGGCATAATTATCACTTTCTGATGAAGACATGAAGTTGGTCCCACAAAGACCCGATTCATGTACCGTGAGAAATGCTCCTCTTACAATTCCTTTGTTTAGATCTACGAAACGATGCAAATCGTATGAACAACAACAATCTGACGCCTGAATTAAATGAAAATCGCTGGAACTGCATTCAAATGGTACTGGATTATCTCCAACCAGTCATTCAACATTTGGTCCAATATTTCATTTAAGTTGCCTTCCTATTGCATAGTACAAATAAGTAGGAGACTTTGATCCACTTTAATGATAACCCAAAGTCAGCCATGGATGAACGAAATCAATCCATTGTTCCAAATATATAAACCATGAAAACATTTGTAATTGGTAACGACTGTTCAAAGATTTCTTGCAAATCGTTTGAACACATTGTCTTTGGCCATTAAAGGCATACTGGTGGACTGGTGAGAAAATTTGAGAACCAAGAATTCATCCATTTCGCTTCTTCTGTACTACATTTTCCCCCTTCTTTTCCCATACGAGATACCAGGCAAACCCAGTAAAAAAAAATCTCAACAATAATTCGGTTCCTTAAGCTTGTTAGTAATATGTGTCTGAAACCACAAAATTATGTAAAGTATAAGAGAAACAAAAATGCATAGGAAGACAAAATTAATTTCGAACCCACTGAATTCATAGTGTTCTTAAAGAACTTAATCCCCTCCTAGTACCCTATGTTTAAGATTATTTCCTCTCAGGATAGAACGGATTATCCACACTGGTATAGCAGTACCTCAAACCTTAGTGTTTTAGCGAACGTAATAAAGCGGAGCAAATCACACATGACACTTATATTTTGTTTTGGAAAAATAATGCAAAGAAAATGGGAGAATTTTAGAATTTATTCCATGTATATAAATTGAGGCAAAGTCTCTAAATTTATAGACAAAAGAAGGGTGCTATGAAGAGGTGCAATCCAAAAGGTGCCTCTTCCATTTCCCATTAACACCAAGAAAAAACACAATAATTTTAACTATCATACTTCGAAATTCACTATTCCTTTTAATTTTTTGCCGATCTAATTGGAGCAACTATTAGTGAAGAGGACAATTTTAAGCTACTTGGTTAACGGCGAGGGTAATTTTTTTAGATGGGTGGCTAACTACGAGGCATTCTGAGCTACTTGATTGACGGTGAGGGTATTTTGTGCCAAAAAGCGAAGCAAATGACAAAATTATCCCATTTCGAATAGTTTATGCTCAAGGGCAAAATTGACCTTTTTTCCTTAGTAAAAACGCTCTAGCTTATAATACTTAGAGCCCGTTTGGCTTAGCTGATTTAGAATAGCTGATAAGCATTAGGTACTGAAAAACATTTTAAGTGCTGAAGCTGATTTAAAAAATAAGCAGTTACGTGTTTGGATAAAAGTGCTGAAATTAATACTATGCAGCTAAAGAACTAGGTAAACGGAGAGTTTTGTTTTAAAAAGAAGTATTTTAGGGATAGAATAGTAAATATTTTGGTCAAACTTAAAGTGCTTATAAGCTGAAATTTGATAAGTTGGGGGAGACCAACTTATGGCTTTTGGTTTATTTTTGGCTTATAAGCACTTAACTTATAAGCAGTTTTAATTTTATCAAACGCGTAGATAAGCCAAAAAGTGCTTATAAGCCAGTTTGACCAGCTTATAAGCTTAGCCAAACATCCTCTTAGGCCATTTTGCTAAAAAGGCTTTAAAAGTCCTTAAAAGACAAAGTTGACAACCGGTCTTGCATCACGTTACGTTACAGATAGAGATGTTTGCAACTACTGTGAGGTCAAATGGTCTTAAAGATGGCCTTGGGTGACATCCGATTAAACAATTCTGAAGGGCGTGCATTAATTTCATTCCACATGATTCCAAACAACTAATTCTATATATAAGTCAGTGCTGATTTTAGAAAGCCAGATCACATGAAGTCAACGACTCAACCCTAATCTTGATTAAGTAAGAGGTTGGATGCATGCACCAAGTGTCATCTTTTGCTAGTGACACTTCTCACCAGAGGTAAAATAAAATTTTTATTAAAGGAATTTAAAATATATAAAAGTAAATACACCAAGATGTTAGTGATCGGGAATTCAATGTTTACTATATATACGTAGAGAAATAATTTTAACCTCGTATATATTATATATAGTATAGTTTTCTGGCAAAAGAAATTCATCAAATGAACTTATTCCGTGCCCCTAGCTCTGCCCATGCTTCATACCTTGTTTTTTGCTATATAAGATAGTACTCTTCGATCTTCATGTTCAAAATGTTCATTAAATAAAGTTAAGGTGTTGCGTAAGTATGAAGATTTCTATTCGAATTCTTTTATATGATACTACTATTTTGGGACTTGTCAACTTTTAATTTCCCGTTTAGTACTTCAATTATAGATCAAAGATAAGGTTTATTTAGTTATACATATATAAGTCAACACTTTTCTCTCTCCTTGTCTCTACCCCTTATTATAAAAAACTAAATTATCTCCATTTAAATTACTACTCTATACGGTAATGCTTAACACTACCTTCCCTTCCCTTAAATGTTCATAGTATATATACAAATTGGAAATCAGAAAAGAAGAAAAACAAACTAAGTCTCCAGAAAAACTCCACCCAATTTATTAAAAAACCTCTCAAATTTTCCTTTAATTTCAATCTCAGCCAAAAAAAAAAAAATGTCGTACTCGGACACGACGAGGTCGCCGGTGCCGTTATCGGAGACAAGGTCACCGATGCCGTTGTTGTTTCGGCGGCATTCCAGCGGTGAAATACGAAACATAGCCTCAGTTTCCAGCAGCATATTGCCAGCTTTTGGAACTGTGATTGGTGAAAACTCTATTAAGCTTAAAAGATTTGTTATTGCTCCTTATGATCGTAGATACAGGTAAGTCCCTTTCCTTCAACATTTCTTCTCTTTAATTTCCTTTTTTTAGTTAGCTGTTTATATAAGTTTCTTTGCATGTAACTACTGGCTCATCTTCTTATAATCGAAATAACAAAAACTTACAAAACTTTAGCGACGATAAATTAGACGACAAAAGATAAAGATATCAAAGAAGTTATTATAGTTCAATCTGATCTGATGTGTTATTGTGTGAGACAGAAGAAATTTTAATTTATAAAAGTCCAAACCTTTTTCCGAAGAAGTTAGCCTAGAGATTTATATTTTTTTCTTAAAAAAAGTAAAATTAATTATGTTAAACTCTTTGTCCTTCCTTAAAAAAGGTAAAGTTCAAATATGACAAAAAAATCTAAGACAAACTCTAAAACATCTGAATCTAAAAGTTTTTGCTCGAACCTTATACATATACAGTCAGATCTCTCTATAACAACATCTTATATAACAACACTTTACTATAAAAGTCAAGCTTTTCCGAAACAAATTTTCATGTTATGTTATAATATATGTTTTATATAATAGCATTTCGCTATAACATCCAAAAATATTCGGAACAAACGAAGCTGTTATAGAGAGGTTTGACTGTATATTAAAAATATATTAAATAAGTACATATAACTAATTCCAACCTAGTAAATCAAATGTGTACTAAAAATATAATCGAATTCATAAGGTTGAAATCCGAAATCCGCCGGTAGCTGGGAGGGGTTGACAGTTGACACCATTGTTGAGTTCTGCATGTGTTAGTTAGAGGATTAGATCGAGTGAAACTGTTACACCTTTCGTGACAATATGGGTATCCTAAATTTAAGGGCCTTTAATGAAGGCTGAGTACTTTCACTTGATTAAAACCCATTCTCATTAGTTCTCGTGGAGACTTTTGACACTTACTGGTTGAGGAGACAAAACTTACTTCATATTAAAGTTACCATTTTCGCAAGTAGAGATCATTAAATGGAGACACAATTCCAATTTCAAAGGCCTTTTAATTTTGGGAGTAAATATACTTGTCAGATCTCCACCGACCATATACACAACCGGAAAAGGTCGTACCAATCGAAGACTCCACTATAATTGTTACGCGGCGCGCCTTACTGAGATTCCTTAGAAGGGCGACGTAAGGCTAAGCAACTGATGTCAGTACAGTTACTGTCCGCCAACTGAAGTCCCCTCCATATGCTAGACGAGATTGTCAGCGTCGTACAGGAAAACCAATATCAAGAGCAATTGAGAGAACATAAATGAGAATTGAGAATGAAAGAAAGCTTGATTGTATTAATGAAAGCTATTACAGAAAAAAGCAACACAGTGTCAAGGGGGAGAGACACTAGTACAGAGAATTGTTTGCTTGCTAGAAAGCTTGATTGCTTGATCCCCCCTAATAATGCTTAAAAAAATAAACCAAAGCTACAAGACTAGACTTGACTAAGCTAGAGAAATATAATGGAAGTACATGAAATAAAACTACTCTATATTTACAATGAAAAGGACTTAGTTTTCTATAAGGCAGCAACAGGTCCGTTGTCAGCAGCATTGTCTTTGGCATCACGGTCTGCGCGCGCGGCATTGTCTGCACGCGCGGCGCTGTTGGCATCTGCCTACGGCTGGGCACTGGCGAGGGATACCGGTGGGCCGACAGAGGCACATGCGCGCTTGTCACTTGGCGCGGCCAAGACCAGGGGGCCGTCCGTGGCGCTAGGCATTGGGAGGCTTGCTAGGACGCCACGGGGCGCGCCCAAGGGGTCATGGGGCATGGCTGGAAAGCCGCCCATGACATTCTCCCCCACCTGAGTTGGCAACGTCCTCGGCGCCTTACTTGCAAGATAATCTTCAGTTAGGCTCTTGTAGGCTTTGAGGTTTGTTCCCCTCTCCTAAGTATTCTCCTCTGCATCACACCCCTGCCATTTCACCAAGAACTGTTGGTAATCTTTCCTTGAGGCATGAATCACTCTAGCATCAAGGATAGCTTCAACACGCCTTTTCCCAGTTGAATTAGGACCTCCAATACTGGGTATTGTGAGCTAGCTCCGTGAAGGATCGTCTGTGTCTTCCCGAAAAGGTTTCAGGAGGCTAACATGGAAGACAGGATGAATTTTCCACCAAGCTGGGGTATCCACCCGGTATGCAAATTTCCCAATGCGCCTTTCAATGGACAAGGGTCCAATGTATTTTTGAAATAGGCTAGGGTTATGGACCCCCGCAAATAAGTACCGCTTTGTAATTTTGACCATCACTTTGTCTCCTACTTGGTATTCAACAAAGCGACGATTTTGATCAGCATGTTTCTTCATCTGCCTTTGAGCTTTGACAAGATAGCTCCGCACTATCTCCAAATTTCGTTTCCACTCTTTTGAGAAGCTAGCAACTCGAGGAGATTTAGACATGTTTGGTGCATTCACTGTGTGTGGGAGTAGCGGTTGCTGTCCGGTAACAATTTCAAAAGCTCTTTTGTTTGTACTAGAGCTCTTTTGTGAATTGAAACAAAGTTGAAGCATCCAGAAGCTTTACCCAATTCTTCTGCGATCTGGTTACAAAGTGGCGGAGATATTCCTCCAACATACCATTGAACTGCTCCATCTGGCCATCAGATTGCGGATGAAAACTTGAGTTGTGACTCAATTTTTATCCAAGGCACTTAAAGTGTTGGGTCCAAAAATTGCTAGTGAAGCATGAGTCGCGATCACTAACAATGTCTTTGAGTCAGAAGATCTTTGGGCATAGCGATCACTCAGGGGCGGCATAGCGCCACTCTGCATCCTTCATCTTCTGACTCTCGTACGCTACAGGGTGCCCTTCTTGTAGCAAGACTCCGCCGAGGGCATAGTCGGATGCATCCGTTTGTACCTCAAATGGCTTGGCCAAATCAGGGAGGGCCAAGATGGGGCTACTAGACATAGCCGCTTTTAATACGTTGATGGCCTCCACTCGCCTCGGTCAATCCCAAGGTGTGGCCTTCTTGAGGAGTTCTGTCAATGGCACTGCGATGAGGGAGTAGTTTTTCACAAATCGCCGGTAGAAGTTGCATAGGCCAAGGAACGCCCTCAAGGCGTGGACATCCTTAGGCAGCGGCCAATCTGTGATGGCCTGAATCTTCTGTTGGTCCATCTTGATCCGCCCTTCCTCGATGACATGTCCAAGGAAGTCAATTTTCTTTTGAGCAAAGGAGCACTTGGATAGCTTTGGATATAGTTCATGCTCCCGCTATCGAGCTAGGACCTTCCGCAAGTGCATTAGGTATTCTTCCAATGTTTGGCTATATACCACAATGTCATCCAAGTAGACCACCACGAATTTGTCAATGTACTCTCGGAAGACTTCGTTTATCAGAGTGCAAAATGTAGCTGGGGCGTTAGTCAAGCCGAACGGCATGACCAGGAAGTCGTACGACCCATATCTTGTCACACAGGTCGTCTTGTGTTCATCACCCTCTGCAATCCGAACTTTCCAATAACCTGTCTTCAGGTCTACCTTGGTGAACACTTTCGCACCACCCATTTTATCGAACAAGTCTGCCATTAGCGGAATAGGGTACTTGTTGTTCACGGTGATTTTGTTTAGAGCCTGATAATCCACACAGAGTCGCAGGCTGCCGTCATGTTTCTTTTGGAATAGAACAGGGGACCCGTATGGGGACTTGGAGGGAACAATGATCCCTATATCTAGCATTTCCGTCAATTGTCTCCGAAGCTCGATGAGTTTGGGTTGTGAAATTCTGTAGGGCACCCAGGCGGGTGGCTTCGCGCCCGACACCAACTCAATTTCATGGTCCACAGTGCGCCTAGGCGTAGTCGCTTTGGCATGTCTTGTGGCATGACATCTTCAAACACCAGTAGTAGCTCCTTCACGGGTGCAGTAATGGGACCCGAGGAGCGTTCTATATCTTCAATGCAGATGGCTGCTAGGAACATAGGTTCATGTCTTTTGACCCCCTTCTTCAACTGCAAGGCCGAAATGTTCTCAACGGCCATCTTCATGGGCATGCACGGGATGGTGCAGGGCTTGGCCCCATTTGTTCCCATCATCAGTAGCATGTTTGCATATGGTACGGGCATGGTGTTGGTTTGCCTTAAGAATTCCAACCCAACTATCAACTCGAAGTCATCTATGATCACCACTCGCAGGTTGAATTTTCCTTCGTAAGGGCCAAGCTTCACCGGTACCTCTTTGGCTATTCCACCTACTGACTACGGAGATGAGTTGATAGCCTTGACACGACCTCTACCTTTTCCTACAACTAGACCAAGGCGCTCCACCTGTGTCGAGGCCAAGTAGTTATGGGTAGCACCCGTGTCTATCATAGCCCGAATGGGCTTGCCATTCACCTTCATCTCGACGAACATCAAGGTCCTCTCTTGTTTAAGAGGAGTCTCCTCATCCGCCTTCTTTTTCCCTTTCTTGGTGATTGGACCTGGGTCCTTCTTCTTACAGATACCAGCACTGGTCTCCGCTAATGCCACGGAAATAGAGCCAACAATTGCATTGAAGGCACCTACTGGTTCAGTCTAATCCGCATCATCTGAGTCGTCATCAGTCCCATCATCAAAAGCCTGATTGGCGTTCATATGTGCATGTGGGCACTCATTGTTCCAATGTGGTCCGCCGCAATGGCGGCATCTTGAAGGAGGCTTTCTCCCCCGGTCATGGTTGTTTGACGCAGCACTATTGCTGCCTGAGCAGGGAGCCTTAGATGTGGATGCACTCCGATCTCCCCCACTTCTGCTAGGGCCACCATTGCTAGGCTGGCCCCTTTTGAATCCCGCTCGGGCAGGCGGCTGAGAACTATCTTTCCGAGTTTCCACTTGATAGTCCCTAAGGCATTCAGCTGCTTGGATCCCCTTGGGTAGGGTATCTACCATTTGTCTTTGCAGCTCCATATGGCATAAGGTTTCAACCCTTCCAGGAAGATGAAGAGCTTGTCTTTGTCCCCCATGTCACGTATGTTTAGCATGAGCGCGGAGAATTCCCGCACGTAGTCCCGCACTGAT